AAACTGGTGTGTACTGTCCAGAGCTAAATAACCATTATTGCACCCCAAATGTTCTCCCAAGTCTGTTGGAAATACACAAAAGCTGCATCCCTTAGATTTGCTCCCTGAGCAGTCTAAAGGACTTGTGCAAGCTGTGTTCATCACCAGAGTATCAGGCTCATTGAATCTCCTTCAGGTCTGTCCTTTTGCAGCTCAGAAAGGCCCCACAGAATCTCCTGTCCCACACAAATCACCTGATGACAACCATCTTCCCGCTTTCTCCATAGCCTTAGCAAGGCCTTGCTTACACCTGGGTTCGAGGGACCCGTCAGCAGCCCAGGAACTGGTTTAAACCTGTTTAAATCTATCACCCATCCCTGTCAGCTCCTGCAGAATCCATTCACCAAGGCCAATCTGGTGTTGTTATCCATCAGTTTGCCTGTCTATTCAAACTCTGCTCATTACCCGGACACCTAAAACCCATCAATGCCCTTTTATCATTCACAGTCATCTGTAATGTGAGCATTGGGTAACAAAGCTCAGGCACAGAAAAGCCTCTGGGTATTCCTGATTAGCACAAAGTGATTTTTTGTTCCATCTCTGTAAGGTTTAACTTTTGCATCTTCTGCCTCTTAAAAAAATTACATGCAAGACAAGGTTTATCTGGATGAAAACCAGGCCAGGTCTGGGGAAGTGAACAGAGAGGCATTTATTACAACAGCACTCAATTTACTTCTTGAAAGTTCAGGTAAACTATTTACAGGAAAATAAAGGGCTAGGAGTAAATCCATTCCAGGAGAAAAACCAAATGCAAAACAAGGAAAAAGCCATCTGTTGAGGCAGAGAAGATACAGCACATGGAAACAGAGGGTTGTTTTATCTGTACTGTAGCTGGAAAACTCCATCTTGGAATTGGTTATACAGAAGATGCCACAGTTCCTGTGCCTCTCTGCACGAGAGCCCTGGCATGTTTGATGTCACTCATTTTTTGCAGAATTGCACCAGGAAAACCATAAGCAAGCCCAGCTCTGCTACAACTGCAAGGCTTCTGCTTTTCTAAAGAATAGATCATGTCATGGTCACATTTTGTAGCCAAAATCACATGTTAAAGAGTTTTAAGGAATAAAAAGTTAATAAGAACATCACAGAAAGTTGGGAACTGTAGTAAAACCCTTTTTGAACATTAATGAAGATTTTACAAGATGTGTCCTTATTAAATAATAGAAATTTCTATGTAAATTACAAAGACAGTTAGGATTAAAACGTTTTCAATTGTAAATTTATAAGAGAGAAGTTATTTTGGCACGAGTGCTGTGTAGTAGATCCTGTTTTTCAGAAACATCCTTTTACCAAAGCAGAGAGTAAACAGTTCAATTGCCTGGGAACTGTCAAACCTTATACCACGTTTAATCTGTTACTGACACCAACAAAAGCTCTCAGGAACAGGCAAACAATATCTGTTGTTTGGGTTTTTTGTACAGCTCTCAAAGAGAGAAACAAAACAATTCAGTGTCAGTTGAGGTCACTAACACTTCTTCAGCTGACATCAAAGGAGAACATACAAATACATCAAAATGTCACCTTTCTGTCCCTGCTGATTCCTGCAAGAACAGACACTCCTAAATCAGCACAGTTAGGCAAACAATACCCTCCATTTACTCTCGGTTCCTACAGTTCCCAACTTTCTGTGATGTTCTTATTAACTTTCTGTTCCTTAAAACGTAGGGGATGATGCCAGACAACCTGATAAAAAAATAAACCCAAACAAACAAAAAACTTGCCTTCCCAACAACACCCAAAAGTCTAGTCCCAACTGTAAATGTTAGGAACTTATGAAAATATGACCTGTAAGTGCTTCCTGAGATTCCTAGCCAAGAGCCATCGAATCCTTACCCTAATCCTAGGGCTGATGGTCCCCTCAGCCATAATTCCTTTCATCGATGACTAAAAACCCCACAAGCAGGTGTGGTGAAAACAGAGCCAGATTCAGGGAGAAAGGCAAGAGCTCTCTCCTGCCACCTCTGTTCAGGAACAAGTTACACAGCAGACAGGAACACGTCCTTAGGTGCTGCCGTGCACTGCTACAGGAATTTGACAGCTTTCCCACTTGGCCTGGTCCAAAAAATCCTCGTCACAACCCTGGCATTGCTCCACTAACAGAGCTCTGCCTTTTCCTTGCTCCCAGCTGTGTCCTCTCTTCTGCAATGAATCTCACACGTCCCAATAGCTCTTGAACGTCCCACCCTTGTTCCAAGCAGAGAGTACTGGGGGTTAGTTGGGTACTTACCTATGCAGTGAGGGACTCAGGGCAAAATCATCAGGACTGAGCTGTGCATTCCTGTGCCTGTAGAGCTGAAGGTCAGCTCCAGCTGCTCAGTATTCCCTGGGCTTCCTCCTTTGCCTGGAAGTGTGCTGTCACATAAGTTGCAACTTCACACCTGCCTGGGAACTCGGGATGTTGATGGATGTGCACGGCTACTTTTCCTTCCACTCTCCCTAAGTGGATATCCAGCTTTAAAGATGTTCCCTATGCTGGAAGATAAGTTTCTGTACCCTTTCGTTCCCAAACCAAAATGAAGAACCAGTTTAGAAATGAAAAGCAGCATCTTTACCACCAAAAGAGGTCTCAAAGGACACTGTTTGGACACTGTAGGTTAAACAGCCCTAGTCTGGACTCCAGGAGTTAAGTCCACAGTTCCCAAACCTTTTCCCATGAAAACCAACAGAAGTTCAGGCTGGCATAAGGAAATCCTCTGCTCCTTTAAGGGCAGCACAGCGGTGCAGCAGCTTTTCCAAGCTGTGACTGAACAAAGCCCAGAGCAACCTGCCCCGACCCCACAGCTGACCCTGTTTGGAGCAGGAGGTGGGATAGGCTCCCAGGAATAAAGGAGTGCTGCAATCATCTGGTTTGATTGGACATGGGTACCTGTGCCTCCCACAGCCCCTCTCCACTCCCACCTCGGCCACCCTGCTATCAGTAACCCTGAAACTGAAAACTGTTGGGTTTTCTTCAACTCTGAAATAAATAGCTACTGTATCCATAACATTTTTTTCCCATGATTGAACTCCACGTGCAGGGGCTCGTTGTCAAGAGCTGGTGCTCTCCACAGCGGTGGAGTGGACATGTCCTAAAGCAAGATGGACTACAGAAAAAGCTGAAAACTAGCCTTAAAATGAAGTCTCTGATTCTGGAACTGAATCAAAGGCCACAGCAAAAGCACCATTTCATTACCTACCCGATATTAACACAAACTTGTCTTTTCTGAGTGAGACAGAGAAAAAATTAGCCCTGTTTAGATTACCCTCATCCTAAAAGAGCATTAAGG